ATGTGAATGTTTTCATTGTGGTTGATGGTTTAACCATTTTACCTTAAGAGCAAAAATGCACGTTATTAAATCACTTTTGTTTGTAATTTGAGTCTTCAAAAGTCATTTTTTCCCAAAACAACTGAAAAACCTTATCGGTAACTTTTTTCTTGATCCCAGTGCAGTGGCCTACTTATACTTTTACAGGTCCCCCTTTTCTCTCTCTCCCCCCCCAAACTAAAATCAAATTTTGGCACACATTTTGAAGGATATTTCCTTAATCCCTATCAGAATTATATTTCTGTTAAGATCATGTCAGATTTAACACTTAATGTTAATGTTTAAAGCAATATTTCTGTTGTTGCTTACACAACAACTATATGTGGTATATGCGTTATTTTAGCAGCAAAGAACAGATCAGATGTTGGCTCACAGAGGGTCATCATACATTTATTCCCTCCTATGCAGCCACACAAGTGACTTTAAACAGTTATCCTGTACCTGCTGACTTACAGCATTCATATATGTGAGGCTGGCTGTTCCCTGTTGGATCCTGCTGGTGTTGGTGAGCAGAGGGGAGACAAACACAGACACTGCTGCTGCTGCTGCCAGGAGACCTGCTGTAAGGCAGCCCAGCTCAGGACTGCAGAGACTATAAATAGCTCAGCCTGTCTTTCTCACAGGCACCACCCACCACATTACCCATGTGGCAGCACAGCAGCACAGAGCAAAACAACACAGCATCACTGCATACTGTACCACATTTAAATCAGATCAGAGGTAACCTGCTCACCGCTGAATGAGGACATGAAGTAATACCAAGAAACTGACAGAAGAAGAGAACAAGTCGTACTGATGAGAAGGATCAGGGACTGGTTCCAAAGAAGGGTTTTGGTTTGGAGAGTTAGCCCAAGATTTTAAAGCATCAGAACAACAATAGTCACTCATTTTAAGTTTAACAAGTTAGCCAACACACTATTATAGCACAGTTTCCATTGTAATAACTGACACTGATCTGCTGACAAAACAGGAAAACGTGGCTCGATTTATGATTTAAACAATGATGTAAAGCAGCCAATGAGATACTTTTTCTCAGATTCATTGGAAATTATTATGCTGGAGTGCACAGTATGGGGCCCTGAATTATATATATTTTAAGAAATATAAGGCTAATGTAATATAAGGCTAACCTTTTCCACCAACTACCTAATCAAATTCATTGAAAAATGATTTATTTTACTCTTCCTCTGTTGGCCCTGTGTGTTTAACATCAATCATCCGCATACTCCTGTAGCATCACTGATGAACAGCTTTTGGCAAGCTAATGGCTAACAAAGTTAAGAAAATAGGGTAAGGGTAAGATAAATCATTAAATGTGTCCCAAGAGCTGTAATTAAATTTAAATTTATTTTTCATTAACTGGTGGAAAATGAAAGACAAAATAGCTTTTTAATGAACCAGTTGAAGGTTGAGGAAAAGTATAAAGCTTTCTGTTTACACTCTGAATTATTTAAGTAGTAGTAAATACTGACATATGTTTTTTTTTTTTTTTTTTTCCTGAATACTTTGTAAAAATACAACTATTAAAATGCACTATAGAGGTTATTTCATCTGGAACTCTTCTCAGCATTCTTGCACCTGTAGGGCTTGGACAAATTACACCTTCATTATCTTTATTAGTTCACCTTCTACCTGAGCCGAGGTCTAATCAGTGAAAATGACTGAGTGTGTAGGGCCTTCTGACCATTTGAACCTGACGTCTGACCATTTGCTAAAATCTATCTGGATGAAATCTGTTCCTGGTGTGAGACCCCAACCTGCTGTTAGTTTAATACCCTGCTGGGAAGTTAATAACCTCTAATTGCATTCACCTTGCAGCTACCTGAGAGCCTCTACATCAGGGAAGCGACATTTGATTAATGCCACGCATCACTGTAATCAGCTACTTTCCTCTGCAGCAGCACTCCCTCAGCCTGTTGATGTTTCTCAAACACTGTTAACTCACTGGATTCCTGCCCCGTTTATGGTCCTCGCTGGTGGTTAACAAGGGTACAACACGAGGGTCGTTAACACTCAGGGAGGAATAAAGGACACCTGTCCAATCTGAGATTATATGAGTGGATTAATAGAACTTTTTTCACAGCAGCCATTTTTGACATGAAATAATTAGGTAAACACAGGTGTCACCAATGATACTAAATAAAGCTCCGTTCCATTCAGGTCAAACAGAGTCAGGGTGCTGCTACTGTGCATCATGGCTCACTGGAAAGGCTCTGCTACAATAAAAGGAACTGAATGCTGCTGTGAAAAAGGCCTATTGTATCAACAAGCAATACAATGCTTGGTATTTTATTTACAGTACAAAAGGCTTGATTTTAAAGCTGGATATATCCCAGTGGAGAGAGATAAGAGATGCAGTGGAAATAAATTAGAAACTTAATCAGCAGTGGTTGATAACAACTTGTGCCATTAGGTGTTTTTCTGCGTTACTGTCTCAGTGGGAGTCTGTTGCACTGCAGAAACAAAGAAATAAGATGCTTATAAGATGTGATTGATCCTGCAGTACACTTTAGCCCAGATTAGGGACTGCTGTAATCTCAGCACAGTGGTTTCAGATTACACCGATTCATTCAGTCCTGCAGTGACTCTATAATATCTCTCTCTGTGCGTGTATATATTGTGTTATTTCTACTGTGGGAAGAGTTGGTAGGTAGGTTGGGGCAGCAACACACTTTGTACAAAGTTCATTTTTGTGTCTCTAGACTGACAGTATTTTATTTTGAATTGAATGCCAACAAAGCACTTTAAACTGCATGCCTCGATGCTTTTACTGGAAAAGAATATACCTCCCAAAAAATCAATTAGGTGCATTAGGAGTTTAGCTCTGCTCTGGTGAAGATGAGAGGTTATTGCTCCTGTAAAAGACAGCTATGGAGCTAACACACACTCACTTACACAAACACCTGATTGTGTCTCCACCGAAAACATCCTTAATCGCATAAAAATACATATTATCTCCTCCTAAAACAGCCAAAATGTGACCTTTAATCATTTTCCTAGAAGTCCTTGAGGTTTTTCAGACCGTTGCATCAGCAGGTTAAGAGGATTAATAGAACAGAGGCTGAAGCAATTTATCAATCAGTGATTGTTACGCAATAGCCTACTTTTCCAAGAATAATACTATGTGGAAGGAAAAGAGAAAACATCAGATAAAAGGGCAGAGAAATGACTGCGTTCTTTACAAGCTGAATTATCTAAAATTAGCTTCATCCCGTCTGCCTCCCTCTTCAGTAATTACATTTCACCATCGCTGAATGTCGCTGATTTGTCCAACATGATAAAAACCACAGTGGGCCTGGGTCTGTATTAACAAGTTGAAATATTTATTTTAAAAACTGAAAAAATAAAAACACACCCACCAACATAGTTTTAGTATATCATACAAAGACATATTTCAATGTTGCTATGTGAGTATTTGTTTCTCTTTGACTACAGTGTGAGGCAGTTTGAAAGGCTGGCTGAGCTGGTAGGACTACAAACACCGACCCAAGAGAGAAGACACAGAGAGAG